TCACTTGCCACTAGGGAGAACAGACCAACTCTGCCTCGCTACAACCTCCTTTCGTGTAGTTGTAGAGAGCGATAAGGTCTCTCCTCAATCTCCTCTTCTTCAGGCCAAACAGCCTCAGATCCCTCAGCTGTTCCTCATAAGACTTATGTTCTAAGCCCTTTCCCAGCTTGGCAGCTGCTTCTGTATCCTCTCCAGCACCTCAATGTGCCTCTTCTAGTGAGGGGCCCAAAACTGGGCACCGTACTCAAGTCTTGTCCATACGTTCTTCTGAGCTCCCGTGCTGCAGTGTTTCTAGAGCATTTCATAGAAGCTGTGGTGTTGGAGAGAGTGTCTCTTTTTTCTTATTCCCAGTTTAAAGAGGGAGATGCGGAACCTGAGTGAAGAGTGCAATCTGGAGCCCGTTACTGTCTCCATGGCTTATGTTTACTTCGAGAAGCTTGTCCTCCAAGGCAAACTCAACAAACAGAACCGCAAACTGTGTGCTGGTGCTTGCGTTCTGCTTGCAGCCAAGATCAGCAGCGACCTCAGGAAACATGAAGTTAAACACCTTATAGATGTAAGTACTATGAAAGTTACTTCATGTGGTGTCAAAACCTCCTCTCTAGCTCGTAGAACAAGGCTAATATTTAAGCCAAGACTTTCAGCGGTGTGTGCTTGCATCAAAGACCAGCTCTTTCGGTTGGTTTTATGTCTTGTTAGGGCTTTTCCTTGATTTATTTTTTGCAATTCATTAAAACCGACTGGTGCAGTCCAATGTCCTACGGATTCTCAGTGAGGTTATTTTTGCACTTAGTGTTTCTCAGGCAAACTTTTTTTTTCTTGTGGGTGTTGTGGCTGAACTGATAAGTTGGTTTATTTGTCTGATCCCTGGCAACACTTGATTCTGTAGGTGCAGTTCAGGCCACACGTCACTGACTCTTGTTTTGCGCTGCCTTGATCTAACAGCACATTGGTATCTTGTGGAATAACTGATTCTTTCTCCCTCTTTTTTTTTTTTTTAAATTACTATTATAGAAACTCGAAGAGAGATTCAGATTCAACAGAAGAGATCTCATTGGGTTTGAATTCACCGTCCTTGTAGCTTTGGAACTGGCTCTCTATCTTCCCGAAAACCAAGTTTTACCTCACTACAGACGGCTCACACAACAGTCTTAACCAAAGCCACGCTCCAGCGGACAGCCAGCGGCGCTGGGGATTGCATTGCTGAACGCTGCCGGTGACGTTGCCACTGGCCTCTCCGTGCCGTTGCGTCATCCTGCCGCGGCTACAGCTCGTTTTGAAGCCTGCAGCGTGTTATTAAACTGTTGAGGTGTGCATTACGGACACGTATGCCAAGTCTGGGGGATGGTACGAGAAGAGTTATTGAACTTTGTTTTTTTCTTTTGGACAGTTAAAGCACAAAATATTCACCAGTCAGCTGTCACAGCTGCTTATTATTCCTTATTTATCTTTTTGGGTTTACTAAAACTGTTCTTCCGTATGAAGAATACTATGGTATTGTTTTGAGGTTGTTTGGTTTTGTTTGGTTTTGGGGTTTTTTTAAAAGCCTTTATTATATTCCTTGAGACTAAAGGAAGCATCACTTCCATTCCAGTGCACCATAATTTCAGATCTTTCTAAGAACCTTCTTGCATTTTTACATTACAGAAGTGCATACTTTATTTTTTTAAAGATGTGCCTAAAACTGGCTGGTCTGGTACCAGTGCTTTTTAAGTTAGTTGTGTTATTTAGTGGGGAATCCTGAATTTTATAGCCGTTTATTCTTTACCTGCATTGGCCTTGCATATAAAGAAAACAATTCCAGTATATCTGCACTAATGACAGACAGGGCATCTATTCTCTACTCTAGACCTGTAAGTAGGAAGATTGAAATTACTCCGTTCCAATTTAGTTGATTATTAATACCTTAAGAATAGACATTTTATTTAAAAAGGAAATATTATTTGAACATCTGTCAAGGAAGTACCGTGTGTTAAACAAGGTAGCTGCAGCGAAGCGATTGCCATCCTAATTCACTCTTCAGTGAAAGGCGAGCGTTTGACTAAGAGCAATTTGCTGTCAAACGTGCTGTTTCTGAGTTTATTTGTTTCAGTGTTCCCTAGTCCGAAATAAGCACCTTCGTAGTACAACCATATTATATATGGTCTTACGTGCTCTGAGCAAATACTGAAGTCGGTGGAGCTACTGCTGCCAAACTAAGCCAACGAACCCAAGCACGCTCAATATGTAAAATGCTACTTTTTTTTACTCTGTTCTTCCAGGCATTGCGTCACTGTGATGGTCCTCAGAAAACTGGCATTGGTTGCACATCTGAACAGCCACTGGTGCCCGGCAGCACCCTAATGCTTATGCAGAGGTTAAATAACTTCTCTGACCGTTGGCTATTCTTTCATTTATTTTTTTTAAATATCCGGGTTGGGAATGAACTCCTCGATTATATGTGGAACCTTCTGTGGTTATTGCCTCTCGGGTTTATTTTCTGAAGCAATATTATGATACAAGTAACTGTGTCCATTTGCAAGGAACAAAACTGATGCTTGGCTATTACAACTGAGACATTTGTCATTTAAGTTTGATTCCTAAACGAAATACTAGACCTCGAGGTAAGGGACCTGCTATCTAATATGTAAAGTAATGTAAATTCCTGTTCCTTGTATTAAAATGTTGGTTGTAGCCAAAACCAAAGCTGAATCTTTCCTCTTCAGCTGTGTTTTGTCTGAAGCTAATTTGGCTTCATTAGAATTGCAGCAAACATTTCTGGAGTCCCTTCCTCTTTAAGTAGGGCTCGAAATGTGTTTTTCGTATAAATAGTGACTATCAAATCTTTTCTAAGTGCGTTCAGCTGTATGTAGCTTCAAGTTATTTGTGTAAAATTGAATATGCTTGTAATTTCTCTCTAACACAGCAGGACTTTCCAGTCTCCATAAGTGAGATGGTAGCTAATAAGTTAGACGACAAGCTTGCCAGTTATCTTCCAAAAGGTTTTAAAAAAATGCCTACTAGTTAAACTTTCTACTGAATATAACTGTCCTTGCATGCAAGAAAATAGTGATGTACTAGTGTATAATGAACCTTCAGATTAGCAAACAGCGGTGAAGACAACTGACGTGACCCACTACTTCTTAAAGTTATTAAGGGAGAGAGGACAGAGGTAGGATGAGGCAAAGAAATTTCTCATGTGGTATCTCCAGAAGGAGTAGAACACTTTGGTTAGTATGAATGAAATCAGAAAATGTCTTTTCTCTGGAACTTCTTTTAGTGTATAAAGAGTTTTTTGTAACAAATAGCTGTCCTTTCTTGCCATCTAAGGGAAAAAAAAACCATCGCACTTGAGTTTGCAGCACTTTGCAGTCTCTATTCAGTGGAAGTTTGTCTAGTGGCAGCGGGCCTTTGGGCTGCACTTAGCCCCAGAATTTACGGTTTCAGGTCACAAACCGGCAAGCTTTTGTTTTTCAGAAGAACAAATGATGACAAGGAGCATTAAATTACAGAATGCCGAATGCCGTCTAAAGGTAACTTTAACCTCAGCTGCGGCCCACGCAGGGTTCTGGAGCTCAGAAGCTGTTGGAGCGCGGCGCTGGTGCCCGGTAGAGCGGGGGCTGGGGGCGGACACCGTGTGCCCGGTACCTTGTGGGGCGGCTGTGCAGGAACCGGCCTCCCTGTTTCTGTTCCTAGAGCGTAGCCCCTGGTCCCGAGTGGGATTTTTTTTAATCTTTTCACCTAAAAGCTGCCACCATGTGGCAAAGGACTATTACTGCGTTATCCATTACCAAATGGCAGCGGGACCCCAACCCGTCCCTGCGGGCTCAGGCCGCTCCTCGCT